AAAAAAAAAACATTTTAATACAAAAGTTGTAAAGTTTCATCAAATAAATCCAATGTTGAACCCATATAACCTTGAACACAAGTATAAAACAAAATCTAATAATCGGCGATACTTGAACTTTATCAATCCATATCTCAAAAAGTACTTAACTAAAAGAAATTTTATTGTAGTGTTTTTTGAGAAGATCTCAATGTCAATTAAGAATATTGAATAGAAGTTACCAAGTTAAAAATTTTACAGTTGACTTAAAGCTCATACCTCAAATGAATATCGCCGTTTGGTGCATTTGATGAAATCTTACAATTTTTATATGAAACTTTTCTCAAATGTTTTGTTTTTGAGATATTTAGCCAGTCTGATACTTTTCGATTACTTTATACGATACTTTCAAGTTGTGTATAATTTGCATTCTACTTTCATAAAATAGAATAATTCATTTACTTCAGCTTACGCATTATTTTTATATTTATACTTATGTTTATACTTATGTTTGAATTTATATTTATGTTTTAAGTATATTACTAAAACACATGATGAATTTTATTTCCAGAGATTTCTTATTTAATGCGATTGAGACACTTCCTTGTGTGAGGAAGAAGGCTAATTGGGCATTAAATTGGATCAATCACGAGAGTGCTACGTTTCCCGAACGTGTAGTCGCATTTGCGGCGGTTGAGGGTATCTTCTTCAGTGGCAGTTTCGCAGCCATTTTTTGGCTAAAGAAACGAGGAGTCATGCCAGGTCTCACCTTCAGCAACGAACTTATCTCGCGAGACGAAGTTAGTAAATTAGTTTTTTTTATAATAGGTTATTCAATTTTTATTTAATAAATTTTATATTTATTGTTTATTTTATAGGGATTACACTGCGATTTCGCCTGTTTAATGTTTAAACACATCGTACAAAAGCCATCGTTTGAGCGTGTGAAATCAATTGTAATGGACGCCGTAGAAATTGAAAAGGAATTTTTGACGCAAGCGTTGCCGGTTGAACTAATAGGAATGAATCGCACATTCATGTGTAACTACATCGAATTTGTTGCGGACAGATTATTCGTTGCATTAGGATTTGAAAAGGTAATGTATAAAAAAGCTTATGAATGTATTCTTTATTTTAATATTTTCTAATGTTTTTATTTTCTATAATGATAGATACTGATAATTTCGTAATAAAATTTTAGATGTTATTTTAATTTTATTTATTAAGAGGTATAGAATATCGTGATAATTTTAGGTTTACAATTCGGAGAATCCGTTCTCTTTCATGGATTTCATCTCTATGATGGGTAAGACAAATTTCTTTGAGAAAAAAGTAGGTGAGTACAAGAAGTTCGGAGTCATGGAGGAAGATTCTAAAAAGAAGAGCACGTTAGGTGTGATGTTTGGTGCAAAGTTTTAAGGTAAAAAGTTTGAATATACAAATAATATAAAACGAACAAAAAATGTACTCCTCGAGGGAGAAAAAAGATATATTTGGTAATTCCGCGACTTTGAAATAATTTTATAATAATGATAAACTTTAAGACAAAAATTTTTGACAAATATTCTCGAGACGAAAAAATATTTGTACAGTGTTTATAGAATATATTGTAAATTGACGGCATCAATAAGAAAGTTAATGTAAATGCATTTTTATATATTTTTGCACATCAATTACAATAATTTTCAGTTGTAATTTCCAAAATGCTATTTTATAAGTAGTATGTGTTTTGAAAAAATATAATTTTAATTTATAAAATTGTTAATGTAGTTTTTTATATTTAATTCTTATTGTAATTGATAAATGAAAAAACTTTTAGAAAAAAAATGTACAAATAATTCTTCTAAAAGATACTTTTTTATGATGCCATCGAATTATTCAACAAACTTTTGAGCAACAAACCGCGTTTGCTTAAATCTTAAATATGTGTGTACAGAGTATTAAATATGAAACGAATTCTAATTTATTATATAAGAAACTAACCGTGATATTTTGTGACACTTTCGGAACATCTTTTTACGATTTGATTGCGATTTTATAATTGAACAAATCAATTAAACAATTAGGTATTGGTAAAAGTTTTTGTCATGTTAATTCTGTTCTGTTATAAAATCTTATTGATGACATATCGAAAAAAGGACTACATAATTTTGAATAAATAACTACATATAAATATTATAGTCTTGATTACTTTAAAATTTAAAGCTGTAAAAAAATACTTAAAACAGTATTTATATAGTAGATAAGTCTGTAACAACTAGATCTGTAACAACTATGCGGCAATAAAATTAATAAAGCTTTTTATTGATTATTTTAAAGATTTTAAAAATGAAAAAATGGTTTGAAAACAAAAAGAATAGAAGAGAGAAAAAGACTATAGAAATTAAAATATAATATGGAAAAATTAAAACAAATGTTTTATTTAAAGATAAATACATCTACAATATTAACATATTAAACAAGCAATTGTGCGTACAGCTGCTGTTTTACATTTATTCATTAGATTATCATGATTGTATAACATTACTTATGTATATACATATATTTAATGTTATCTGCTTTCGAAAAATTTTAATCCAATCAGAAATATTAGATTTTTATCTAATCGCCACCTCTCAGAAGACCGAAAAGATCTTATCAGAGCTGTAGATTAATTCGAAATTGGCATTTAATTATAGATCCCATGATCCCACGGCTAGATAGATATAAAAAATATACTTTCTCATAGAAACTCACGTGTAACATATTCTATGGGATTATCAAGGTAAAGATACTTGGAAACCTTTTTGCAAATTATTGAGGTACTGCTTGCGGCATTCCATGTTCTCGGCTGGTCTATTATATGGCAACCAAACTGGCTCTCCCACGAAATATCTCTTTGCTCTTATATAATTCTAAAAGTTTTCTTAGAAATTAGAGATCCATTTATTATATAAAAATTAGAAATTTATTTTAAATTTATTCTAAATATATTAGAGATTTGTTTAATATCTAAACAGAAAAAAGATATTTCTTTAAATATTTAAACGAAGATTGACAGAAAAAGAGAAATAAAATAAGTCAAGATCAGATGTGAAAAGAATTTGTAAGCATTTGTAAATATTCTTACGTTAGTGTCCAGAGTGAAACGATGATAAATTCCACTGGGTATGATTATTAGATCGCCGGCCATTACTTTAATCCGGATCCATTGATCATCCTTATCCCGCACGTCGAAATAGCCTGAACCATCCAGAATCAGTCGTATCTCCTCGTCAGAATGAAGATGTTCGGTGAAGAAGATTTTTAACTAAAAATCAAATTTGGATGGAGGTATATAATTAAAGGTATTGAAGAAATATGCTCTATTAAATATATAGAAACGTATGGTATCAATTAAAAATCTTGATATTTTTGTAATGAACAATAATAATTATGACTTTAAAAATAGAGATGATATCTTTTGTACCTTCTCTTCGTAATTTTCTAAGCATTTTTTGGAACATGTTGATTCATCTTCATATGTGTAACCACGTTTCTGGCGTAGTTCTTTCAGAATAGTATCTACCTCGTAATTTAGATGATTTATCTGTAAAATAGATTGTATATAATAACAAATATAAATACAATATAGTATGAGTAAATTTATGTTACTCGTAAAATTCTATTCACTATAAACATGTCATTTTTTTACAAAAATTTATATCTTCATTTTTATTAAAATAGTATGTATTATAATGTACGAATGTTAAAATGACATTAAATACTAAATAATAATATGAAAAATAATGAAGGTTTATAAGATTTATAACTGAAGAAAATTACATAAATAATCAGATCTATCTTATATTTATTTTTACTTGTACTTTTTGGATTCAATTTAAAGCTAAAAGCTAATAACGAGTATAGAGAGTACATGTATCAAGTATATATCTTTAAAAAAAAACAAAGAGAAATATGGACATACAATATGTTATATAATATGTTACATGTCATACATTACATTATATAATATAATATGTATAAGAATGTAAGCGACGTTTTAATAATATAGAAATATGTTATTATAAATATGTATATACACATTAAATTCATATCAACATTTAGCTCCAATATCTTATATTTAGCTGATCGTGATTGGATATCGAGATTGGCAATAATTACGTATCATCTTGTCAATGTATTTTCAAAATACATGGTTCAATCGGGCATGAGACGGCAACAATCTCAAAAATCGGGCATATTTCTAACCTCAAAATATTCCACGCCCGTTGTGGCGAACAGGTTATCCAGCGAAACATATTCTGGCGGTTGCCTGTGGTGTTCCAATTTTTGATCAGCATCGCTGCTGTCCATATACCAAGCGCATACCATAGTCTCTCGTTCAAATAATAACGTTATTCCGAATAATCCAAATAATGATGATGACACCGGAGATTGGACTTCTGTATTTTAACTAGATTGTATGACGTAAGCAATTTACCAATTATCAGCTTAATACCAACAGCTTAATACTCAACGATAAGGAGATGTAGATGCAAATTCCGAGAAATTTCGAAAAATACGATGAATATAAGTTTATATTACCTTCACCGTTAATTTAAAAGAGACAAACTTTAAATAAGAAAGGATTCTTAAAGACAAAATTCTGGTAAGTCATTAAAAGAGAGTGAAGAAATTATCCGTTTTTTAGCCCTCAATTTTGTGAATTGTGTGCCAAATTTTACCTTGTAATGAAACATTAATCACAAAGAAATTTCAAGTTAGGATGATAATTATTATGTTGTCAGAGTTGAGGGGTGGAAGGGGGAGGGTGGAATCAAAATCCGTTATTGAATTATTATAGATCTGTAAGATCCAGTATTTTAAAAAAGTTGATCTAACCAGGTATATATCACTTGACCACATCGCTAATTGGCTAATTTAAGATTCATATAATTTCATTAATAAAGCAGTTAAAAATTACTAGAAACCGGCCAATGTAGGTGGTGCATGCAATTGAACTATATACGATGCGCCACGATCCAGCCGATAAAGCTAAGATCAATTCGACATCACACTTATTCAGGTATGATTTTCAGGTGATTTGGCATACGTTCAGTCCAAAAATTGAGAGCCCAAAAACGGGCAAAAAAAAACCACCTTTCTTCACTCTTTATGCGTGCATTATGTAGGATTTTTATGCCATAAAATCATATTTATTTATTATTTAATGCTATTATATTATCTATATTTATTATATGAATTTCTATAGAGAGAAAAAAATCAGTGGTGTGTGGTTTCATATTTTTTTCTTCTAATAATTATTCTAATTAACTTTATTCTTTTAAAAATTATTTTGAAAGAATAAAATTGTTAATTAAAACAAAATAATTATTAGAAGAAAAAATATGCTGAAACACACCAGATTCTTTTACACACACACACACACACACACACACACACACAC